CCAAAAAACCCCCCACAACAACACAAACCCAACAACAACAACAACCGCACTTCAAAACCCAAACAAACAACAGCCCTTTCCCTCCAAAAATCCCATAACAAACATCAGAAACTCCCCTCTTTCCTTCCGTCTTGCACATTCTGTGCACCCTACCAGCAGTCCGGGCCATTCATCACCTTTATTGATTTCCGGCCAAATCAAGACCATTTTTCTCTCTACTGTACACAATTCTCAGGTTGCAAAGGCGACATTCTTACACTACAGCCCTATGCTTCCCTCTCTCAACTCCCTGGAGTCCCCGTTGTTTAAGTGTGTGTCCCTTGACGATGCATTACTGACAATGATGATTATCCTTCTGTGTTCCTTTCTCCTTCTTCTTACGGGAACGCGAGTTTTTCCAAGGCCCACCACGACAGGGCCGGCCGTTTCCGAAATGTTTATTCTGGTGTTCGTACCCGATGCATCTGTCTGTCTGTCTGTCTGTCTGTCTGTCTGTCTGTCTGTCTGTCTGTCTGTCTGTCTGGTGGTCTGTCTGTGTGTCTGTCTCTGTCTCTGTTTCTTTCTCTTTTCTCCCCCCTCTTTTTCTCCCTGTTTCGTTCTCTCTCTCTCTCTCTCTCTCTCTCTCTCTCTCTCTCTCTCTCTCTTCCTCTCTTTTCTCTCCCTTTTTCCTTCCTGTGAACTTCTCTATCTATCTATCTATCTATCTATCTATCTATCTATCTATCTATCTATCTATCTATCGCCCCCCCTCTCTCTCTCTTCTTTTTTCTTTCTCTCTTTCTTTCTTTGTCTTTTGTTTTATTTCCTCCCCCGACTCTAGCTCTCGCTTTCTTTCTTTCTCTTTCATTGTCACCCCCTCTTTCTTTCTCCTCTCTTCCTCTCTCTTTTTTTGGTCTTTTGTTCCTTTTCCCTCTCTCTTACACAACCCTCATCCTTATCTCTCTTTTGCTCTTCTCTCTTCTCACTCCCCCTCTTTCTCTTCTTCTCGCCCCCCTCCCTCCTTTCTATTTCTCTTTTTCCGTCTCTCCCTGTCTCTCTTCCTCTCTCCATCTCCCTATCTCGATTTCACCCCACTCTTCTCTCCCCCTCTTTCATCTCTCGCATTTCCTCCCCCACCCTCTCTTCTCTCTCCTCCCCCTCTCTCTCTCTCTCTCTCTCTCTCTCTCTCTCTCTTTCCCACTCAGACCTTACCATTGCAGCAAGCTTTACAACTCCTCTGACAGTGATAAAACATAAACACCGGGTTCTTGGAGCACTCGCCCCTCTCAGACCAGTAGCCACAGCTTCTGTCAATATCACCGCAAGTTCCTGTACGTAAGAGGACCGGAAGGGAGGGAGGTGTGAGGGGATATATTTAATGGTCGAGTTTTCTGTGACTTCAGAGTCATAAGTTATGTCAAGTAAAGTCGATGACAAAGCTATAAGGCGGGTGGTCGCTGGGAAGCGTTCCTGAACGTTGCACGTCAGTGGAAGAAAAGTATAATCCCCCCCCCTTTCCCCCCATTTTGAACGTCATGGTCAGTGTGAGACATATGGGTTCATTATGGATGTCAAAGACCATTTCCTACCCTGCCCCCTCACACTATTGTCCGTCTCATATCCGTATCAACATATTATTCTACTTGACACACCCCTTTCTGACCTCTTCCATTTCCCGAACCATGCACCCCCCCCCCCCTTTCTTTCCAAAAGGGTCACGCCTTCCCTCATTTTTACCCCAAAAGCTTAATCCTTCAATTCAGTCATTGTTTTTATTTCTACACATTAAGACTTTTTTACGTCACAAAAGGTAGGAAATAAGTTTTGCTTGACGCAGTCCACCGAATGGCTGAAGGTAGAATAAAAGAAAGTTTGAGACTATGTAGGACAGAGCAGTGTTTTGTCAACACAAAGGTTGTCTCTTCGAAATGGGCTCACTGTCTCTGACATTATAGGATCAAGAGTGTTGGTGATTATTGGAATGGCACAACGACATTACCACACTTTTAAAACCGAACGAAAAGCACAATGAATATATATGACTACAAACTGAGATTTAATCGGGCTTGGCCGTGACGGGATTGAACGCCATATGAGCAACCTCTGAACATTTGATGTATGTTTTGTACAGACAAGAAAAACGTCTCCTCAGAGATAAATAAAGGGAGTATTTTTTCTGTTTTAATCATTACTGCTTTATGCAATTAAACTATTACCATCGTTGCATATCCTGTGGTTTGGCCCTTCTCTGTGTAACGCAGAAAATTCGAGTTTGATTCCTGTGTGAGTAAACTATTGTATCGGGCGTCTCAATCCGTCTACTGGAATGCTGTATCCTATTCAGCACTGACTGGTTGGCGTTTTATAGACTGGGTCGAGGTTGTCAATCATTACGTGATCTAAAAAATGTGTCGATGGGGATGTAAAGCATTCACAATCTTTAAGTCTATTAAACCATCCCCCCCCCCCTTTTTTTTTGGGAAAGGAAGGCCATTAGAAATAGACTGTGTGTAGCTGAGGATTGGATGCTTCTAGGTCCGCTTGTCCTTGAAATGAGAAAAAAAACCTTGATCTGAAGGTTGCCGATGCCATATCTTCATTCTCATGAGTGCATAGCAATCAAAGAGGATAGCCTCTTTGATTGCAATATGTTGTTGTGTGTGTTTGTAAGAGAGAGTGAGACCGGGAGAGAGAGAGGGAGAGAGGGAGAGAGTGAGAGACAAAGAGAGAGGGGGGAGGGTCAGAAAGAATGAATTTGTAGAGTTAATAATTATATAAAGAAATTTCTTTGGGCTGTGCGGTCATTCATACACAACACATGGCTTTATTAATTGTGTTTACTTTTACCTTTCAGCAAAACCATATTCCTAATCTTCATTGGAGTTTTGTTTTCTAACTCTATCTATTTTTTCTCTTCACCTCTTTACACTGATTTAGCAGTGTGTCTTTTATATTCAAAAACAAGTTTAATTTGACCGACACTCAAACCTTACCTGGATATTCGTCATTCCAGTTGCTGTACGTGATAGGTGTAGTTGAGTTTGTGAACTTCCAGGTGCAGTCGGTCTGTATCTCTCCGCTCACCCATACGTTTTCTTCAGACCTAGATCAACAGGTAGCTTTTTGATCATGATAAGAGGAAGAAAGGATTGATCGCAAATGGTTTTAGCCCCCCTTCGACACAATTTAACACAGTTAGAGGCGACATTCTTCACCCTTAATTATGAAGGCATACCTGGGCTGAGTGGAAAATATCTTAAGGCGGACGAACTGAGTTATTCGATAGAATAGACTTGGGAATCGAACTCACGTCTGTTGTGTGCTAAGTAAAAAAAAACACAACAAATGCTAGTCGGTTCAAAGGAGGGATCGGGTTCATCATAAATCTCCCGTTCTTCTCAACAAGAATAGAAGGATATTCTGAGGCTTGCAGATCGGGGGCAGGAGGGGTGGGGGGTAGGCACCCCGAGCCCGCCATGTATATGTATATATATATATATATATATATATATATATATATATATATATATATATATATATATATATATATATATATATATATACGTCGTGAACGTGCTTAATAACTGCCTCTTCTCAAGCCTACAAAAAGGCATTTCTAAATCAGGGCTTTGAGTTTTGTGTGGTATATGTTTAACACCCCTCGAAGCACTAAATGGTTTTTCGAGGTGAAACTTCTAAAAACCTAACGTCATCTTCAACAAGACGTATACAAAGTGGCCAGAGAGAAGCAACCCAACCTCAGGGAATTCCTTGTGATGGATTCGAACCATGGTCATCAGCATTATAGTCCGGTTGCATACCAACTGAGCTATTAATTGTTGCACCAGCGTTCGGATTTATGTCCTCCAGATTGGCCACCCCAGGAGTTTTTTTTGTTTTGGTTACGGATTCGTCTGCGTCTTTAACTTTGGTTTTCCTATTTTCAACCCCCCCCCCACCCCCACCCCGCCTTTCACCTTTTTCAAGAAGAGAGGGCGAATAAACCTGATGTGGAAACACATCACAGACCGAAATTATGATATCCCAGACCGCGTAGTCATGGCCGCCATTGTTTGCTCTCAATAAAAACTTCGCTGAGGGAGCAAATGAAAGAAAAAAAAACAATCTCGCTGTAGTCGAGTGAGTGCACAACATTTCCCTCTTTGCCTTCATAATTTGGGTTCCGAACTTAGTCAAACGGTGCGCTCAATTGTCAACTGGAACTACGTAAGACTGTACAGTCTTGGATATTGCAATACAAATCTATGAAAAACATAAACTTACTTCAGATTCATAACCATCTGTTGGTCTGTGGAATCCCGGATCTCGAACAGAGTGCCGGACTCATGGACCGCTCGACACTTGGCCTCCGCATCCTGTCTGTTGAGAGTGTCCGAAGACATGGAGTAGCAGCGATCTCCATAGGTGCGGAAGTTTGGTGGACACTCTGGGTGGAGAGACAGAGTGACACAAGGGGATGATACGTGAAGTTTCAACAACAAAACAGAGAAACACAGCTGAGTTAGAGAGAAATATACAAGCTACAGAAATGAGATGCTTTCCAAGACTGTTGGGTATCTCCTATAGCGATCATGTTACATATCAGGAAGTGAGGGACAAAATCAGGCCTGCCGTTGGATCCATGAAGATCATCCCACCACAGTGAAGAAACACAAATTGATATGGTATGGGTATATAACAAGATCTGTACGACTTGAAAAGATTATCCTACAGGGCACTGTACGAGGAGGGAGAGGGAAATGCAGACAGTGAAAGAAATGGTAAGACTGCATAACAGAATGGACAGGTTTAAAAGTGGGTAAGCCCTTCGAAAGGCTGAAAATAGAGAGAGCAGGAGAAGAGTGGTTGCCCGGTCATCCTTGGTGTCCCAACGGTTATCTTAGACTAAAGGATAACGGAACTAAACTGATTTTGTTCAAATCATCAGTGTCATTTAACAATCGGCCAAATCAATTTCTGGGGAGTATCAGGTAAAGCCGTTATTCGAAAGAAGACAACAAGGGATATCAAACATTATGGTTTCGTTTTTCATGACTTCCTTCTTCGTTTTTATTGGAAACATAACGAGTGCTCAAGTTATGATTTTGATTTGGGCGCTCTCGTTTTCAATTAATTTCCCCAAAACTTTTGACTTAGACATCTGTGTAATGATGCTGACCAAATAAATGTCGACATCGTTGACTTGAAGTAAAGACCGAAATACGTGGTCTTCCAAAAGGTAGATTATTGAGCGGATAGAAAGAACTGTTCATGTCATGTGTTCAGTGTCACTTTCGGAGCATAGACAGAAAGGGATGAGATGGAAAGCCTCTACTATACCCCAGGAGAACACGCACAGTGATGAGGCAATAGACATTGTTCACACATTCTGTCAACATCTACTACTTGATGATAAATTATTGTAAATATTGTATTCCTCCCGTCGATCCCACAACTAAGATCATTTAGGAGGTGTGCTGCTTCGACCCTGTCTACCGACGCCAACCCAGGCTTGAAGAGGCAGAACATCCCACTGGACATATAAAGAAGACCCACGGCAAAAAAAACCCTCCAAACTCAGTAATCATAATCAAACTCACATCTTTTTGCGAGCAGCAACCTATAGTATAACTGCAAAGCCACAGCCAACAGTTCCGATGTGATCCAACGGACGTAGTAGGGAGCCTTCTGTGAGGCAAATGATACCAAGGGGGATGGGATCATAATATATACTACCAACTCATTGGTGTCTTGTTTGTCTTCTGCCTCTCATCCATTCCACTTCCCCGTCAACAACGGCTGTTATAAGTAGGTTCAGATACACCGTGCAACACTAATTTTCTTCAACACCGAATTACTTCTGTTTTAAAAGCTGGACTTTGCACTCAATCATATGATCGAAAGCTAAAATGAAAACAGCCTCAGAGAAGTCGCAAGCAGCCAATTTTGCTGCTGTCCAGCAACTATAAACAATATAATTAATTCAAGAGACACTGCTCGTGATGCTTATAAAATGAAGGCGTTCATCGTCATCAAGAGTTTTCCTAACTCTAGTGGAAATGAATACCTCACACCAGCACGCGTAAACCCTTCGTTGCTGCACGCAAAATACGTAAGTTCGATTTCATCGGAAAGGGGGGCGGGGGTCATTTTTTAGAATGTATCACGTTTATCATCTGAGATGCTGTTTCCCTTTCATCTCAGATTGGCCCTGACAGAAAAGGTCGTACTCGTACACCTCTTGCGTTGTCACATTTGAGTCGAAGGTCAACAACAAAAAATATGTCACAATATTAATTATTGACACCATTCTGCACTGTCAATGTGTGGTGTCAGGGGACATGACTCTTGTTATTATTATGGGACAGAGTAATTAAGAGAGTAGAGCGCCCTTAGATGACGTGACATTTTGAGTGGCGCCAATTAGGCCGACGATAGATTCAAGGAGAGCCAGTCGAGCACAGGACGAGATACCGACAACACCGATCCTGGACGGGGGCACCCAAAAAGACCAAGACTCATCGGACCGCCAGGTAACTTAACATCAACATAGTTACCATTGTTAAACAGAGTTAGACGAAATCGTTCTGAATGCACTCGACATGGACAAAGAAAAAAAATCTACCAGCAAGCACGCTGCCCCAAAATTACTCAACACGCAGCCCAAAACGTACATTGTAAATACGTTCTTTTGCTGCTGGGAGGGAAAACCCATTTTCACTACTAACCTGCACATGCGGAGTGCACATCGGGAAAACCCTCTAGTCCACACTCCAAGGTGACGATGACGGGGCCGTTGCTATGGTAACGGTTACACTTGATTCTCACTCTTTCTCCGATCTTGTACTCAGACTTGAGCATGTCCACTGCTGACCCGTCCGCAGGGATGTGTGGTGGCTGGCACTTAGCTGGGGAGGGGGAGGGGTAACATTGAGGACAGTAGACGCCACATGTGGCAAAAAGATAGAAACGACTAAGAAATATCGAAATACAATTAATGTCACTGATCTCCGTACAAACGATTTATCAATCAAACAACATGTCATTACATAACTATGTAATGTAAGGGTACATTGTAAAGGCTGTATTGCTGGTCTCTGTGTGTATATACAGTTGAACCTGCTCTAACGGCCACCTGCATAGGACAATGCCTGCTGTGGACATAGACACTTCCCATGTAATCCCGTGCGTATTTTAAGAATTACGTGTATAATGGCTCGGTGTAAAACAGCCACTTGTCTAATACGGCCATTGTTCTTCTTGATAGTTTGTAGCTGCCTTAGACAGTTTCAACTGTATTTACACTGTTTCTTAGCTGGGGCTATTGTCTTGATTAGAACCTTATTTCAATTAGCACAAATCTAAAACCTGTCGCATTGACATTACAAGACAAGCTGAGTGAATCAGAATAAAACGCCATTCACTTCCCTCTAGCTCAGAGAGGAAAATAACAACAAAAATACTAGTTAAAGGGCTGGGGAAAACACGTACGTATGCGTATACAAGAGATTGAGTAGCGTGAGCAACCTGGCGTGCGGAAAGTTGTATCTTTATTATTGCTCATTTGCGTGCAGGACAGATCTTGCGTAGGGTCACTTTGATTAAACTAGATAAACAGATATTTAAAATTATACATAAGAAAGAAAAGATACTCACAAAAAACAGTGCAAAAGGCCAAAGCCTACTTAGAACCCACAGAGAAAAAACATCAAACAAAAACGCCAACAAAATTAGCACCAAAAAAATAAAACTTTGGAAAAAAAGGCAGAAAAAAATAGCACAAAAAACACAAAGGTAAAAACAAAAATAAAGAAAAATGATACAAACGAATACGTATAAGTGCATGCACCAAAGCAGAAGCCGAATTATTTCTCATGTAAACACAGCTTGTCCCAATGGGGCAGTCGAAAACTCTTCTCACATTATAATGTTCTTGAAGCAAAGAGAGCAACAGAGGAATAAAATGTGTTCTTGAAGCAAAGAGTACAATACAGGAATACAGTAATCTCTCGAATGTCGGGACGGGGGGGTGGGGGGGGGGGGAGACTACGTCTCAGAATTTCCCCCAATAGAAGAAAATCCGTGAACTGAAAGAATGGGTGGTTGGCAGATGCTCTGGTGTGGTGTACTCCTTCTTTCCTATCAAAATGTGTCTATCGTCCTTGTCTCACTTCTTCTCCTTTTTGTGTTTGTTACTCTTTTGTAACATCTCTAATCTTCGGCATGACTTATATGACTTTATTGTGTTGCAAGTGCCGTAAAACTCTTACTAAAACTTACACGACCTAGAAACGATGTATTTGTTAAGTTATGTACGCCTATTTAAACCCTAGCGCCCCACTCTTACAAATCGCTTCCACACTTTCATAAACATACTCTACACATGGATTATGAACGACCAACGGTATTTCGAAAATACAACATTGTTATAATGTTATTCTATTCATAGATAGTTTTACTAAAATTATAATTTGGTAAACCAGTGAGTCAAAACTGTACTCATGGTATATCTACATGGTTTCCCTGGTTTTCTTATTTTCGGGGTTTAAAAAAACAAGATGTGCAGAGTCCGCAAAATATGATCTGCGAAATTGAACTGAGATATGGCGAGGGAATATTGTACCGTATTATGTTCTTCACGCAGAGAGCAAAGAAAACACCACAATGTGTTTTCGAAACAGAGGCGATAGTTTGGGAAATACCACGAATTCTTGAAGCAAATACTACAGTACATAAATAATTATCAACACCATATTATTATTATTATATTCACGAAGCAAAGAGGAGAACACAGGAATACTACGCGTGCGTTAAAAAAAGCAAAGAGGTAATATGAACCGTCTCCCAATCAAATGTTGTTACTCCTTCTATCTTACCACAAGCTGATATGCAGCTCTTTTCGCACATCCAGTGCATGTACGAGGGGTTGCTCTCACATTCTCCTTGACTCGCCCAGTAGTCACACAGTTCATGCTTGTCCGTGCAGTTGCCTTGGTAACACAAACACCATGACGCCATATTTGCAAAACATGCATTACTTTGGTTGTAAATGACAACGGGTTCTTGTGCTTATGACAAAAAGAAACGTGTTTCTTTTTTTGGCCAAAGTGCAGTTTACTTGACGCCAAAACAAACATAGATGAAAATGAGGTTACGCACACTTGCCATGGTTACAAAAACACGCGCGAAAGGTTAAAGAAAAGTTTTGGTTACAAACAACGATGAAAATATATAGGTACAACACTCATGTGTTTTCGTTCTATCGACGATGCTTTACTAATACACAACACACAATTTCACAGCCAAGTTCAAGAAAAACGTATGCCACATTTTTCCAACATCGATTTTTCTTTGAATTCCCGTGAACAAAGGTCCTTTTTCGCAATATCTCTTGTTGATGTGATGATCAGACGATTCAGTCTGATCCTCACATCAAAAAGATATGTGATGGAGCAAAAGATGTGAGCCACGGAACAGCAAAAAATTTTAGAAAAATGTGGCATACGGTATTCTTGAAGTGAACCTTCGATTTGTCTTAGCTGTAACAAATAACATTTTTTAATACACAGCATGAATTTGCCTTCCTTGTGGCGACTATGATTTTATAAAACACAGCATGCATTCGAAGACTACAAGGGGAAACGGGGCGTAGTCAAGGAACAAAATTATGGATAACTGCCTTTCTGTCACCTTGTCTTGTGGACTGCTGTCGCCGGGGTTTTTTCAGTACGGTTGCTTTAGTTTTACACCTAACACCAACATACGAGTGTGACCATGTGATACTAGTAATAAATGTTTTGATGGACAAAATGGAACCAATAGATAATGACAAACAAGGACGAAAATGGAAAATGGTCTCCGCGGCCCTTTCCGCAATATAGTCTTCATTTGTCACCATGCAAACAATCAGGAAGTACTGCAACACAACATGCATTTACTTTCGTTGGAAGCTACAAAAAGTACCGATTGACAAGATACGCTAATAGGGGATTTTAATATTTAGCATGTATTTATCTCCATTGACAACAACAACGAAGGATAAATAATGCAACAAGCATGTATTGTCATTGCAAAGCATAACGTCATGTTTAAGAAAATGGCTTTCCTTGGAAAGAAACGAACACCACTTACACACAGCACAAATCAGGATAATCTTGAAAGAAGAAAACAACAATTGAACCAGCCTTGGGTTCTCTTATGTAGCTTTCTTCTTGTTAGTGAAATACCCACATCGTAACATCGTTACCAGAAGCAGTCACCTTGGTTACATTAACAAAACACGAGGTATCCATCCAATACGCAGTTGCTTTGACAACAAATGACCAAACTGTCACACCCAAGCACGTCATTGTAAAAGCCGATAAGAAAGCTGGTCCCTTCATTAATTCAATTGTAGCAAAAGCCACGTTGCTTCTAGTTTCCTGTTCATACCCCGGCTTTCATATTCGATAAAAAATATAAACATCTATTGTTCAACGTAAAAGTATACCCTAAATTACTTTCATATTTTTAACAGCTAAACGTTTTGTTGTGTTGTTGTTTTTTTTGAAGTTTTATAATGTTCACCATGATATAGAGCACTTCATAGGATCATATTGATTCATAGGTTGGGTTTTTTTTAATTCACAGCAACAATTTTTTCTATTCCTAAAAGCAGTTGGTTCGCAGTTCTCATCTTCCCTTCAAAACAATAAAATGCATATTACATAGTTAGTATTATGTCACAGATAGATAGATAGAGAGATAGGTAGATAAATAGATAGACAGATAGATAGATAGATAGATAGATAGATAGATAGATAGATAGATAGATAGATAGA